CTCAGCATTCTTTTCTTTCTTTCAGCTTCTAAGCCCGGTTTCCGCTTCAATCTTTTCTTTTGTGCTTTATCGACAACAAATAGCTGCAAAACATAATTCAAAGTATTATGAGTACTCTTTAGTTCTAAAATAGAATAAATAAGGCCAAAATATTAAGATAAAGTGCATAAAAATATATATAAAAATACACATATCACCCATCCTTCTTCTTCACAAATAGAATCGGGGCTCCCCAAGGCGAACTGCTCGGACGAATAAATCCCTTGTCCAGCAGCTCTTGCAGCTACGTAGACAACTCCTGCATCTCGGGAGGGGCCAACCGATACGGTGCTTTGGCTATCGGAGCCGCACCGGGAATAAGATCAATCCTGAACTCTACCTGTCGCTCCGGAGGTATCCCAGGTAGTTTCTCCAGGAAAACATCTGCAAAATCTCGAACCACCGGGATCTCGCTCACGGTCGCCTTACCCGCCTCCCGGGTATCCATCACATACGCGATATATCCCGCGCATCCCTGCTGAAGATAACGCCTAGCCCTCGCTGCTGAACATACAGTGGGTCCACACTGTGGCCGTTCGCCATGAATCACTAACTCTCCCCCGCTTAGGGTCCTGACTCACACTAGCTGCTGCGCGCAATCTATCACTGCCCCATTAGGGCTCAACCAATCCATGTCAATAATCACCTTGTTCCCACGTAATGGAATGGGAACCAAGTCTACCAGGTAACGCTCCTCAAACAGTCGCAGAACGCAATCTCGAAACACCATCGATGCTTGCACCGATCGATCGTCAGCAATCTCTACCTCTAACGGGCAATCTAACTCGCCTGAAGTCTCATGAAACCTCTTGCTAAGCGCAAGAGAAACGAACGATCGGGATGCACCCGAGTCGAACAATACCTGAACTGGGATGCCATTCACATGGAACGATCCTAATACATATATATATACACGGAGCACATATCAATATCATAACAACATAAAACATAAGATAGAAGGAAAGAATGATACCCGTCACCACATCGGGCGCGGCGCGTGCCTCCTCTGTAGTCAGCTGGAATGCTCGGCTCCTCACCACCAGAGCCTCTTCCTTGCCCTGACGGCCATCTGTGATCCGCAGGGTTGCTGGAGTTGGCGCCTTCACTGGCGCTGAAACTGTCAACATGGGGAAATTGGCCTTCTTGTGGCCCCTCTGGTTGCAGTGGAAACACAGCAACTCCGATGTCTGAATAATTGTCGCAGGAGCAGTGCAATCCCTGCTGATGTGCCCAAACTTGCCGCACTTGTAGCAGCCTGACGATCCCATCCTGCACGCCCCCTCGTGCGGCCTGCCGCACTTCCTGCAGCGGCTCGGTCCTGACTGGCCTTTCGGCCTCCCATCTGATCCCTTGGGCTTCTTCCCCGAAGCCCCTCCTGCCTGTCCCTCCTCAGATTTCCATTTCCGGATGTGCTCCAAATCTATCTCTCTCTCCCTTGCCCTGGCGATCATAAAGTCCAAGGTAGGGCAAGCCAAAAAGCTAACATGCTCCCGGATGTCAGCTCGAAGCATATCGTGATAACAAGTCCTCCTCATATCCTCGTCACCAGCATACTGGGGAACCAAAAAAGCCCTCTCTCGGAACTTGGCGGTGATCTCCGCCACAGTCTCCGTCGTCTGTCTCATATCCAGAAACTCCCTGGCTAGCTGCTGAAGCTCGACAGCTGGCGCAAACTCTGCCCTGAACCTGGTCACAAAGTCCGACCAGGTCATAGCCTCGATAGCTGAGGCTCCCAACGAGTCACCCACTGACTCCCACCAATCCCGGGCTCGGTCCCGTAAACACCCCACTGCGTATCTCACCTTCGACCCCTCGGGGCAGAAGCTAGTCAGCTGTGCAGACTCGATGTCTGCAATCCATCGCCTGGCAGCAATGGGGTCCTTTACCCCATGGAAGTCCGGCGCACCACTGCCCCTGAAGTCCTTGAAGGACAGTGTGCGTGACCCCGACTGGCCAGATGCCAAATCGCTCCTGAATGCCCGCAGGCGATCCTCCATCAACTCCATGATCCCTTCCTTGATCGACCCGAAGATAATGGGAGTCGACTCAAGGATGCCCCTGGTGATCTCTGACGCGATGAACTCGCGTAGTCCCTCATCTATCGGCTCGGACCCTGATCCCGAACCTGACCCCTCTCCAGAACCGCCGTCCACCGGCCTCGATCGAAGCACCACCATTCTGCAATACATCACAACAATCATTAGATATACTGGTGCTCCCTGAGGAATCATAGCTACTTACAAGTTCCCTGGTCTTGTCTTGGCCTTCCTTGGTTCGGGTACGGATCCTCTACTTTCAGTAGTACGGGCCCATACTACCTTCCACATCTATCCGTACCTTCTTCAAGGACTGCCTCGACTCCACCAGATCCCTTACACTAAGGCTAGTTACTACTATACTCATTCCCGGCTCGCCCTAGGGAAACCTCCGGCTCTACTCGATTCAATCCTCAGCTGCTGCAGGCCTCCTTGTAATGCCAATTAACCATCACCCGAACACCATCACATGCGGCGAGACTCAGATAATCCTTCGAGTACCCGACTCATCCCTACAACCGTTGGACTCAAACAAGAGCTGCGCAGTAGGATCAAATATGGTACTTTAAGATCATTCAACTCTGATCACATGTGGTGTGACGTATTCACCTAATGGCTAATTCCCATTATTCGGAGTCCCACGTAGCACGAAGCAAGCAGCATTCGGACAAGGGAAAACGACTTCAAACAATTCCGCTCTCATAGAGAGGATCTGAACTAGCACACCATGTTATCTTATACTACCAGGCAAACCCTAACAAGCTACCCTACTGTTGTCTACACTATACAAGCATGCAATTCACATATAGGTGGAACACATAAGGCAGGCACATAAGGCATCATTCCTAGATCCTTAGCCCTATTCTAGCATGCTGCTCTACAAAAGCTGATAAACATAACATAAACTGGTATGGGTACTTTGGGGAGTACTTACTTGAGCTCGGCCGGTCGCGCACATCACACACACTTTTGTTCTTTCTTAAACTCTTTTCTCGTTGTTCGAAATCATTTTCTAAAAAAAATTCTTTAAATCCCTAGATTTGAGTTCAGACACCCCCGAAGGTGAGTCCGAATCCCTCAAACCAGGGCTCTGATACTAACTTGTAACGACCCAATTTTCATGTCCGAAAATTTCATTTTAAAATATTACTTTAGAAAACATTAATAAATAAAAACATTGTTTGATCACACCATAACACATCGCAAACCATGTTTTAAAAAGTCAAACCATACATCCCATCAAAATATCAGAGTACAATCCCAGTGAATCTCGTAAATGCGGAAACCAGAGTGTGTGCATGATGTGCCACTACCGCGCCGGCTCCTTCCCCTTCGGTGAAGAGGTACCTGAAAACAAAACTGTAAACGTAAGCACAAAGCTTAGTGAGTTCCCCCAACGTACAACATACCATACAAACACATAACATACGTACTGTCAGGCTATTCTGGGGTGCCTGACTACCCGGTACGGCCATTCTGGGGTACCGACCTACCCATACGGCCATTCTGGGGTGCCGTCCTACCCGTGTCAAGCCATTCTGGGGTGCTGACTACCCATGTCAAGCCATTCTGGGGTGCTGACTACCCATCGGTCCTAACAACCGATCCTCGGGGACTGGTCCCCTCCCGCTACCTCTATCGCATAACATAACAGGCCAAGATACAAACATATCATCACATACTATCAGATGTTTCTGGGGTGTCTAGCTACCCTGCGGTCCTAACAACCGAACTCTACTACTATCGCATATAACGTATCATGATAGCATATAACATATCAGGTAATAGCAAACCTAGATGATATCACAAAGACAATCATCTATCATACGTCTCCTACTGGTGGGCCGGCATTGTGGCCTTAGACCCACCACTACTGGAAGGTAACTCACCTCAAAGTAGCTGCTGAACTGATCGGGAACTAACTGACTGCTGCTGCTCCGGAAATCCTCCGGCTGCAATTCCCACAACATACTCAATCAAACACTGCTAACTGTCCTTTGGGTAAAATGATCATTTTACCCCTGGTCTAGTTCTAAGTCAAGGTTAGAGTCAACTTTCAGTTGACCCGACTCACCGAGTTGGCTCTCCAACTCGTCGAGTCCCTATCAGACGATTGTCCTGAGTCCCTGTTTCTACTTGTCGAGTTAGGCTATGACTCGACGAGTTCATCTTCTAGACTGACGTTCAACCTCTTCATCCTACTCGCCGAGTTGTATGAACAACTCGTCGAGTTCATCTTCATCCGAATAACACTTATGCTAAGACTCGCCGAGTTGTATGAACAACTCGCCGAGTCTGTTCTTGATCTATGAAGATTGCCTTGGACTCGCCGAGTCAGGGCATTGACTCGCCGAGTCCTATCATGGGTGAGTTCAGCTTCCAACTCACCGAGTCACCCCCTGTGACTCACGGCTCAACTCGATACATCATAAAGGGACCAATTCAGTGACTCGCGACCAGACTCGTCGAGTCACATATACGACTCGCCGAGTCGCAGCCATGCATCCATCAGATACACCGATTTGCTCGATTCCAGTCCATGCCATTCACAGATCTGGGCTTCTAGGACACAAATCACACGTAAAGTTTCCAACTTTACGTGTAGATATTCACCAATATGGATTTTAAGGCTCAAAGTGCACCAAAAGATGTAGATTTAGGGCTGTCATGCATTATGACCCCATAAAGGCATTAGATCCAAGCTCCAAGGACTAAATCATGCCTAGATCTAAAGGCTAACAACTTATTACAACCCACAAAGCACAAACAAGCTTGGGGAAGAGCCCAAGAAGGACTCCTATGAAGCTAAAAGAGATTACAAGCTTGAAAACAGAGGGGAAACGAGCTATACCTCAAGGAAAACGTTGAGATGACACAAAGATGCCTGGTCTCCTTCTCCTCTTCTTAATCTACTCTTCTTTCTCCTCAAAATCGGAAACCAGGTGCTACACATACCTTCATCTTTACAACTTCCAGAGAGACAAAGTAGATCTTGACATCATTGTATTTGGCTAAAAGATATGCAAGAGAGCGAACTTTTCGCCCATTTGCAAGATCCCCAATAAGTGCGACTTTGATTCCATCCAACTTTCCTATCTCTCTTTCAATGGTGTACACATCAAGAAGAGCCTGAGAAGGATGCTGACCTGGACCATCTCCAGTATTGATAACAGGAATGTTAGCTGTCATCGCTGCTCTTCTGGTAGCACCACTTTCAAAATGCCTCATTACAATTATATCCAAATACCCTTCGACAGTTCTAATAGAATCTGAATCAAAATAAATAAATAAATAAATAAACTCAGAATGGGAGAAAGAAGATGAAAGAAGGCACTACCTTCAAGTGTTTCTCCTTTTGCAGTAGAAGAGAATTCGCGTGCATTTTCTGTTGTTAAAACTTCGCCACCTAAGCGCTTCATTACTGACTCAAATGAAAGCCTGGTTCTTGTTGAAGGCTCGTAAAAGAGAGTAGCTATTCTAAAAGGGTTTAAGTTTAAGCTTGGAACGAGATTCAAGTAAGCCAAATTCAAGATTCATGAAATTCTAGGGCACACGAGGCTACATGTCGCCTGAATTTTAGTCTACCGGAGTTTCGACACATAAGTCCGACTTTTACGCTTTCGGAGTTGTACTTCTTGAGATATTTTCAGGCGAAGAAGGCAAGTGAGGAACGAAGGAAGGAGTGTCGATAACTAGGCAAGGCGGCAGTCGAATCTATGGAGGGGGAAGAAAGGATCGTAATTAGGGCAAGAAGGAAACAAAAGTGGAGGATAAAAAAGAAGGCGGGTGTTCAAAATTTTAGGGTTTTCATTTTCCCCCTATCTACTAAACGCGCTTTTCATTAAAATTATAATGCAACACTCATAAAGGACGCCCATTTAAGATACAGCGCCCTCCGTGTTTTTAATTTTTTCTCGTATGACGTTATTTTAAGGGCACACAATAATGCGTGACCTAAATCCTTAATTTTTTTGAAGAGATGACACTTTTTTAACGTCACTCTCCTTTACGTAACATAAATCAATGAGTGTCGTGGTTTGCGCGTCGTAAAAGGCTATTTTTCTTGTAGTGATTTGAGCCTTAGAAGGAAGTTTGGTGTCCATTTTGTACATTATGAAGGAGTTAGAAGATCTTGAAGTTTCTAAGCTTGGAGTAGAGGTCTTGGATCCAGAATCATTATCCATTTTGCAAGAGTTTGAGGTATCAAGTTCTTATCTTGATGGCTAAATGTTTAGATCTTTCTTTTTGGGTTAATTGTTATATTTGAGTCATGGGTTGGATGGATGTTGGGATTAGGACGTCCCAAAGCCTTATTCTTTTATATTTGGGGTTTTCATGGACCCTTTTGGTATAAAGGTGCCAACTTTATGGATTTAAGGGCTTAATGCATTCTTTAAGTCCTTTATTAAGCCCTTTTTGAGCATTTAAGCCTCTCTTAGTCATGCATGAGCGTAAAGTTGGAAACTTTACGTTGTCTTCTAGTTGTAGGGTATCAGATCTGCAATTTGGGGCTTTGTCTTTGAATACTAAGTGTTTAATGGTTAATCCCTCTTTCTTTTAAGACTAGGGTTTGGGCTTGGATCCATTTCGGTGGTTCTTATGGGTAAAGTTGGAAACTTTACCCTTCTAGATCTCATATTGGTCGATATCTGAGTGGTGAAGCCCTTGAAGTCATCAATGTCGACTTAATGTATTAAGATGTCGGTTTTTGGTGAACTCGACGATTTTATGGATAAACTCGAAGAGTTGGCTCGGTTTTTCCCCGAATTTACAAATGATGGAGGAACACGGAAAGTTAAAGGATAACTCGGCGAGGTAGATCAACTCGGGCCGTTGACTTTAGTCTTTGACCAAGTTTGCAATTAAGAAAATTATGGGCTTAGGATAAGACCCATATGGGGTGGGCCCCAAATTGGAAAATTAGGCTATTAGTGGGCCTTTGTGGATCTTTTGGATTTGGGCCTCAGTTTTGTTTTGTGTTGGGTCAGGGGTAAAATGGTCATTTTACCATTGTTGTAAAACTCGTCGAGTTAGCTGATTACTCCTCCGAGTACTCGCTATTCGGCCCCTTACCGAGGCGAGTTACAGATTCTCGAGTACTCCCCGCTCGACCTCTTACTGAACTGAGATGTGTTATAAAAATCGGTCAACTCGGTGATTAATATATATAATATACTTAATGATTTATTATTTAACACACACACATATGATTATTACTACATATATATCATTTACTTTCAGTAATTATTCACGAAGTGAGACCATTATGTGTTTTTCAGTTTTTGTGTATTCACATGTATCTAACTTTGTTATATATTTCAATCAACTTGTGATTTTAACTTATTATTTTGACATATATAATTTCCTTAAAAATATTTCGACATGAATTACCGAATCCGAGTACTCCCCGAGTACTCTGGAGTACTCACTACTCGGTAGTCGGCCGAACAGGTACCGAGTAACAAATTCTACAACCTTGCATTTTACCCCAACTAATAATTATGGATTATAGATTGGAACCCAATTACTATTTGTGTGTGTTGTTGGTATTGATAGCTCGGGAAGCCGGCGGGGCAACAACTAGGGATTTCTTTTAGTGAGCTTCTATATTCGAGGTGAGTTTCCTTACCGAGTTTAGCGGGTCGAAGGCACCAATGCTGGATCATGTTTATGTCATGTTGTTAGGATTCTAGTTGTCTTTGTAACTCTTGCATGTGCTTGTGTTTATATGTTTCGGGTCTAAGGTCCGACGCCGGGCGGGGTCAGACAAATATTTGTATGTTATGTATCTAGGTGATTATTGCATGTGTATGTGTTTATTTGATATATGTTATTGTATGATGGGCGGGGCCTGTTTACCGAGCTCAGCTCGATGTCGGGCAGGGCCTGATGCCGGATGGGGTCCGATGACAGCGCGGGGTCCCCTATATGTTGATTGTATGTTTTCTATGTGGTATTTTGGGGGAACTCACTAAGCTTTTTGCTTACCGGTTTTAGCTTATGTTTCAGGTACTTCCGATTGTAAAGGGAAGAGCTCGGGATGTTTATGATGTTTTACTCTGATTTTATGGCAATTGATACATTGCTTTTTATTTAAATGTTTGGATGATATTGGAAAATACTATTTTATCTATTATTAAAATGAAATTTTTGGGACCATATTTTTTGATGTTACATTAAATCTCAATAACATGCCTTTAATATGTTTTAGTTACAAAAACTGAAACTAACATATATTAATTTAGAAACAAGGTGGTTGCTCCTACACACTGAGTTCGGTGATTTTTGTTGACAAAATCCATAATTTGCACCCTCTACATACATAGGTTTTAGTATAAAATTGTTAGGCCTCACATTTCGTAGATGTTGTGTTTAAGTTTGTATGCGAAAGGTTTTGTAATAATTGTATTTTAAGTCTTCATTTTTAATTGTGAAGGATGTTATGTTTTGTATTATTTATCACTAGGCTTCGTAGTTCTTGTTTGTTAATTTTACAGGTTGTCTTAGCTTACGTGTCTTGACCTGATTGATCATTTCCTAACTGACTCCCTTATTGTGTCTTATATATAAGGGATGCTAGTTAGATGGAGAGAGTATCTTTTAATAGTTTCTTACGTCAAATTTTAATTGAGCTTCTTAATTTATAATCAAAATCCAGATCATATTTACCTGCGTGTGTTCATTTGATTTCTCATTTTGCAAACATGATTTCTATCTTTTAGAATCTATTCGATCCTACAAGTGGTATCAGAGCAAGGATTTCTTTGGGCTACTTTCAAATCCATTGAATTCGTTTGTTTTCTTCGAGTTTTTTTTTGTTACATCTTTTTTCTATATATGTTCCGCATTTTGCAATTGTATCTAGAATTATTTATTTCATTACTCATTTTCATTTGAATTCTATGTTTGCTCATTGATTTGATTCTAACTTAAAATTTTCATTTGGAATCATGTTAAAAGAAGATTCTCACGATGTTTCTTTCAATTTGTCGAGTAGTATCAGATCATCTACTCGTATTCCAATTTTGTTTCCTTACGATTATGAAGTTTGGGTGTCACACTTTGAGGATTACATCTCAGGAATTGAAAAACATGGATCATACATTTGGAAATCAATTGTTAAAGGTCCTCATCGATGTAGAAAGATGGAGGAATTTGCTAACACACTTGATGATTATGTTGATATTTTTGAGAGATTGAAAGATCTGACAACTAAAAGAAAATGATAAGAACAAAGGTGATTTAAGAGCTAACAGAGATTTACGTTTTTCACTTTCACTAGACACAATCAGACTTGTAAGCTCTTTTGATACGTCTCACGAAATTTCGGAAAGAATGAAGGAACTTTATTCCAGTAACGTCGATCAAACTCATTATGTGCAAACAACATTACTTTCGGGTTAGATCTTTTTTTATAGAAGGCTAGAGAGACAATTAATCAAATTGTAAGTAGGTTTAATCACTTACTAAGCAGAATGTTGAAGTACATATTAAAAATAGAAAGGATTGAAGAAAAAGTTACTTTCATGAACAGTTTACGTACGTTCATAATGGAAGATGATTACGTTAACAGTGAAGGCACATGAACAATTTAAAAGCTACTCATTAGCACAAGTTGTTGGTATTTTAAAATCTCATGAAGACAAGGTCATGGAAAATGCAAAATTAAGTATATATGTGGGTCCTTTAGCTCTTGTTGCGAATGGAGAAATTGTAAAAGAAAAGAAGTCCAAGGAAAAAGTAGTTGTTGCTGATTGTGATTCAAATGCGACATATAACGAATTTACCAATGAAGAAAAGGCTCTCATGATCAATAATCTAAAGAAATTATTTAAGAAGAATTATTCTAAGTTCAGAGGTAATGGTAACGTGAGGACTGATGGTGGAGGTATTGGCTACAAATGAGGAAATTTGTATGCTGAAAAGAACAAATGTGAAGGAGTAAAAAATTATCAACAAGAATAAGAGAAGAAAGAAAAGAAATTATTTAGTGATTCATGCTATGAGTGCAATTACTGCAATGTGAAGAACCATTTTGCAAGAGAATGTATGTTGTGAAACATGAATGACAATAAAGAGAAAGAGAAAAATGAAGCCTATTTAATGCAAAAGATTGAGGATCTGAAAAAGTCAAATGTTCATGGAAAAGCTTTAGTAGTGGTAGAGGATAATAACGATGATGGAAATTTTGAAGTTTGGTTAACTAGACTCAGAATATGAGGAGGTTCGTAGACCAGCTAACGGTTATACAAAGAAGTCTGTAAGCCTTTTCACCACCACGGTTATACACCTACTCAGAGTTTACTTTTTACTCCTATGTGAGACACATTCTCACACCCATTTGTTTTGCCAAATTTTATTCCAAATATTCAATTTTGAGTATCGATATCTCATACACTTATACTTTTGTTTTGGAGACATCATATATTGCTTTGAAGTTCTTACGGAGGACAACATAATCTACTACAGAATGTGTCCAAAGTTTAATAAAAATAAATATTTTTTATTAAATTTTCCAACAACTTGCAGGTACCTACAACACAACTTACGATATTTGTCATCAAAGTATTTCAATTTTTTTGGAAACAAAAACCAAAATTCTTTTCGTACTCTTCGAATTCTTCAAATATTGTTTCAAGAGAAGTCATCACTTGATCAACAATATATAAAAAATATTTAACTTCAAATTATTCTCAAATAAAAGTACAGTATCTTAATTACTTGAATCATCATCAAATTGTTTTTTTTCTATGAATGGGATGCTTTCGAAGAAATATCAAGCCCATTTTCATTCCATTGGAAAGTTATTTAGCATCATCAATTATCTTAGAGAACTATGTTTCTCTAAACTCCTCAAAAATCTCAATTAACGTATTCACTCCTTTTATAGCGACATCGAGAAACATCTCATTCGATTGTAAATTTTTGCTAACCAAGTTCATCATGTATAATATTTTAGCGTGAGCTTTTGGAATTAGAACAAAACATGTGATTTTGTCATTGGATTACCGGATTGTCACTGAACTGTATGTAAAATTATCCCAATTTATGATGTGTCATGTACGATCACCTAACTCGCACACTCTAAAAAGACTCATGGTAAAATGTAAAATATTACAACTTCATATTTCCATATTTTAGAGAAAATAAACAATTAAATTTAAGAACATGCTCATTTCATACATTTATTTCTTCCCCTCATTCCATACTACCAGGTAACAACTTTTGGTGGAAAAAACAATATATATATATATATATATATATATATATATATATATATATATATATATATATATATATATATATATATATATATATATATATATATATATATATATATATATATATAAATAAAATAAATAAATAAAAGGTAGTCATCCGTGTAATTGATACCTACCTTCCTTCAGATGCAAAGTTCTTTGCTTAATTGAAGTTATTTGTAATAATAAAACTTTGAACTTTAAAGTAGATTTTTTTTTTCTTTTTGCATAATGTTATGTTATTGTATAAATAATATCGAAACACGTGATAACATTTTCATACTATATATATAGGATTAAAGCGTAATAAATTTAATAAATGTCGTATATATGAGTTTTTATAAAGATGTAAAACTGTTTTGTTGTTTTTTTGTTACCTTTGATGAGAGTAGAATATAATGTTTTGATAAACGTAAATAGTTTAGCGATTATGCATAAATTATGAACTTAATTTTTTCTTTTTTGGATTGCAAGTTTTATTTTCAAACAAAAGAAATGTGTTAGTATCGACGTTAAATGAGATGAATATCTTTAACAAACACAATTCGTATGTCTTCATTTGATTTTTGTATTTTTATAAAGGAAAAACTTTGTTATACAAATTATTGGCCAAAGGAAAATTTGTATATTTCATATTTGGATGTGTATCTTACGTTTTTTATCAGAAAAAAAAAAAAAAAAAAAATCTAATCTATCAACTTCATGAATTTTTAAATTTTTTTTTGTCTTTTTTCATTAGAAATATATATTGATTTAAAAAATTACAAAAAAAAAACTATTGTATTTTTTTTACGTTTTAATAGTTAGGATTTATTTTTATCAAAATAATAAAAATAAATATATAAACGTTCTTAATTTTTAGTACTTTAAGACATTCATATTGATATATAAAAATTGTTTTTTTTAAGTTGTGTTCAAATTTACATGTGAATCTTAACAATATCAATTTTTTATAAAACAAATCAAATGTGTATACTTATTGTGTAGGTTTTTTTTAATAAATCTTGATCTTTTACATGTGAATTTTAGAAATTCACCTGCAAATATCAATAAATTTATTTGTATATGATCAAAATGTTAAAATCGTTACAAAAATCAAGTAAATTTATATTTAATTTAGTTAGATTCAAATATGAATGTAATTTTTTTTTCTGTAAAATCTGTTCCAAGTGGGGCCCGATATCGGGTGAGGTCCGTTATATGTTTATTATGTATGATATGTGGTGTTTTGAGGAACTCACTAAGCTTCATGTTTACGGTTTTCAGTTTATGTTTCATGTACTTCCGGATCCAAAAGGAAGAGTTCGGGGTGATCGCATCGCACACACCACATTGTTCTGCATTTTACCTTACTCGGATGTTTTGGTCGTACTTGATTCTATTATGGTTTTATTAACATGTTTTGAAAGATGGTTTTATTACTACAATTTTCAGTTTATGTTTCAGGTACTTTCGGATCCAAGGGGAAGAGCTTGGGGTGATCGCATCGCACGACACACACCTTGTTGTTCCACATTTTACTTTACTCTGATGTATTCGGATGTTTTGGTCATACTTGATTCTATTATGGTTTTATGAACATGTTTTGAAAGATGGTTTTATTATTCTAAATTGAAATTTTTGGTTTTAATTTTTGGGACGTTACACAAGCACTAGAGTTGGAAGATGGCCATTTCATGGGTGCCGATTGATCCAGAAAAATATTTGGTGGAGTTAGACATATTATTGGCAGAAGACTCGAACGAAGAACAATAGCAAGCTAAAAACAAGGAAATGTGACAACATTCCTCTAATAGTCATGATGCTTATTCCTATGGAATTACTTTGTAAGAGAATAAGAGAGAGTTTTGGAAAAATAACGAGAGTGTTGTGTTACTTTCCTGACACCTCCTATGAAGGATGCATTTATAGAGTTGGAAAAGGGAACAACACATGGTATTTTGTACAATTTTTATACCTCTATTATGTGTGTTTTTTTTATAGGAGATCCTGGGCAGCCAACGATTCTTTGTTGGAACTCAGCGGGATACTTTGGCGCCTCGGTATTGCTTTAGGCTCAAGGATCCCTTGATTCAGGTCGGCCTTCGATTTGACTAATGGTATATTGTTATCCAGGTCAGTTATGAGTAAGGATCGGTTGTATTGTTCTACAACTCTTGGCCGCATTAAGTTGACACACTACTAGTTATTTAATACATATTTATGTGATATGCATATGTCATGCTGGAACTGATGTTAAGATGTTAAGATCATGTGGTGTTATACCTAGTTGTCATGCTAGGATTGCTATTATGATGTTATGGTGGTGATGAAATGATATTTTATGATCTTTTATGTAATATTTTATTGTAGACTTAATGTATGAGATGTTGATTATGGTAACAATTTAAAGTAGTTGCAATCTATAGTTTATAGATATGATGATAGTGATATAGTTTTTACACTATGTTGTATACATGCCATATTGCTTTATTATTAGATACATGTATTGTCATTCCATATTAAGGGGTGCTTGGATAAATTAACTTATAATTTATTAGTTTATTGCTTATTAACTTATTGCGGTGGGAATAAATAGTTTTTGCAAAAGTGTTTGTGGTAGGATAAGCAATAAGCAAGGGAGGGGATGCTTATTAAAATCAGCTTATTTAACTTATTCATACTACAATAAATTGATTTTTAAGGATTCATATCCAAACATTTAAACTTAATTTATTGTGATAGGAGGAATAAACAATAAGCACCATCTTTTTTTTCCTATCCAAATACCCTCTAATATAGAGTATGAGTTGACTCGATGTAAATGAGAGACTAAAGTTTGATTAATGATGTGTTGCTACCTACTAGTGATGTTGATGTGATGTGTCACCATTAAAGTGATGACGACCTCAAACTATTCTAAAGCGATTTGTCGACATTGGCAAGCTTGCTACCTGGAGGTGTTGTATGGTTTCTTAAACATGTGATATACATTCCTCTTGTTATACTCTTCCCCTTTATTGGATTATCGTGTGAAAAGAATTTCTGAATCCATGTGGTCATTGATGAGTTTTAGATATATAGAAAATAAAATGAGAGGTACCCCAAATAAGTTTTAGATAGAAGAATGAAATGAGAGGTACCTTGATGTTGATGTGATTCAATGTCGATGTTATTTTATATAATGATTTTTTATAAGACACATCGACAATAGATGAAATATTGATCGAAAATCTAATAAAAGGAAAATGATAAATTGTATGCCGATCAGTCATTATTTCTTGACTTAATATAGAATCATTTAATTATGAGACATTGACTATATAAGAATGAAAAACTCTCAAATGTATGATGATAACGTATATATGTGATTATAATATTATATCATCATCATCACTGATGGCAGGGCATATAATGATATAAAAACATGAACAACATATGTGTATCCTTAAAAAAGTTACACAAGATATTATATAAATAAACGTAATTGCAAAAATAATATATTCAAAAGAAAGAAGTACCCTGGTCACAAACATAGACACATGGATACTTTATCGAACTTCTTTATCTTTTTCCAGTAAATAGAGATATATACGGTGTGTATTCTGCAGCCTTTCGGGAGGTGCATTAATACACACACACTAGAAATACACAGACATGGAGGTGAAGGATTTATAGTGCAGGAATCTTTGAAATAATCCTTTTCTTTTTCAGCTCCCCTGTCATCCCTAACCTCCATTAAAGCTATAAAAGGTTGCAACTTTTTAAGGAACACGTAACTATGTGTGCATCGTTGTGTGTTTAAGAAATTGTTCAAGAAAACAGTGATTAGAAATCGTTGGATTTGGAAAAACCAACTAAATTTTGTGTTGGGTTTTTGTCATTTTAGATTGAAATTGAAGTCAAACATATGATAATTTGACTTCATTTCAAAGACACTCTGTTTTCACGATTTCTGCTAAGGTGTTCTTGTCTTTCTCTATGCACATGAAATCATGTGGCTTTGATTCGGTTTCTTTCTTTTCATCTGCCGAAAAGAAAGAATTCATATTTTATTGGTCCCACTAAGCTTCATACAGCTTCAATCCCGAAGATATTTGCCTCTTCTACACTCAAAATCCAAAAGGTAATCCTTCAATTCAACCTACTTATTCCCCATTCATGAGTTTTAGTATCGTTTTTTCTTACAAAAACTTCAAATTTCTCATATGGGTGTTTAATTGTTAATGTGGTTTGTGTTTAACAATCATATTGCTTCATTGCATACGAGTTAATTGGTGTCTGCATAATGTCTGACCTTCAAGTATGAATCTTTGACCTTGAATCCGCATGAACATTATGTGTTATGTAAATTAAGGTTACAAGAATCATAATTAAGGCTTTCCCATTTGGCTAATTACAGTTCTAGATATGGGAAAGAGTTCAAGTCTCCAAATTTCATCAATATTCTGATACAATCTGTTCTCGTTTTCAGGATCTTCATATGTTCTAAACGCAATGGCTAGAACTTATTATTCATGGCAATCAGCAGTTGTACTCCTTGCTCTTTTGATTGTACCAATTCGGTGCTCCGATCACCATAATTTCTCTCAAGAACAAACCCTTTTGAGAATCCAACAACTTCTGTATTACCCTGTCATTCTTAGCAGCTGGAACAACACCACAGATTTCTGCAACACAGTTCAAAGTTCATCAGTAACAGTTATTTGCTACGAAGGCGTAATAACACAACTTCACATCATCAATAGCTATAAAACCCATCAATTGCCTGAAGATTTCTCGATAGACACCTTTGTTACAACCCTTATTAACCTTCAAAGCTTAAAAGTCCTCAAACTGGTTTCATTAGGTCTATGGGGACGAATACCTGCAAAAATTTCCCATTTATCATCGCTAGAAATCCTCAACACTACTTCAAATCACTTCAATGGCAAAATCCCATCGGAAATCACATCTTTAACGAATCTCCAATCACTTGTTCTTGATGACAACAACTTTACTGGATGGATTCCATCTCGTATCGGATTCTTATCACGTTTATCAGTTTTGAGCATGAAGAACAATTCGCTAAACGGGTTGTTGCCAGATTCTTTAGGGAAACTAACTGATCTTCGAGTTCTTATGCTTTCTCACAACAACTTTTCCGGCGAATCTCCTGATCTTCGTGATTTGAAAAACCTCCGAGTTCTTGAACTTGAAGGTAATTCACTGGGACCCAAGTTTCCTCAAGTCCCATACAGAATTACCTCAATTGTTCTTCGAGAGAACAAGTTCACCAATGGTTTACCCGAAGAACTACATTCATTTTATCAACTTCAAAAGCTAGACATAGCTTTAAACCGATTTGTTGGACCCTTTCCAACTTCGATACTATCTTTACCATCGATAACTTATTTAGACATAAACGGGAACCGGTTTACGGGATTGCTTTCCGAGGATCTCGCATGTAATCCGGGATTCCAATTCGTTGACTTGTCGGCTAATCTTCTAACCGGGAAGCTCCCGGAATGTCTCGTGTCTTCAAAGGTCCGGAATGTGGTGTACAACGGGAATTGCTTGAGTACGAATGATGGAAACGAAACTAAAAGTCAAAAACCGATTTCATTTTGTAGAACCGCAGCTTTGGCAGTCGGAATCATACCCCGGAATCACAAAACGAGTAACTGGTCAAAAGCAGCTCTTGCATTGGGGATCACCGGAGGGATTCTGTTGATCAGTGTGGCGTTCTTGATTTTCCGGCGAGTTCATGGTAAAAAGATGGAGAAAAAGCCTCCGGCGAGGGTGATAGAGGAAAACCTGACGAGTTCTTACTCGTCGAAGTTGCTTTCGGATGCAAGTAAGCCTTCTCTCCTTTGACTTTTTAAGGTCAAAGTTCAATATTAACAATGAATTTCAAATTTTGAAGGATATGTTACTCGAGTCATGAAGCTTGGAACAGTAGGAATCCCGGCTTATCATGCTTTTTCGTTAGAAGAACTCGAGGAAGCCACTAATGGGTTTGATACATCCACCTTCATGGGCGAAGGGTCCCACGGTCAGGTACATTCTTATTTCCTGATGATATCCGGAAGTATCCGATACTTCGGATACTTCTTGAAGATATAGCATCGGATAACCAGAACATTAAAAAATGTTCTGGTTATCTGTCACTTCCTATGATATTAGTATCGAGTTGATACTGATGTCCAATGTTTTTTAACAAAATGTATTGATCAATTTGACTAATTTACTGAATATCAGATGTACAGAGGTCGGCTACAGGACGGATCATATGTAGCTATCCAATGTCTAAAAATGAAAAAAAACCACAGCACACAAACATTTACGCGTCACATAGAGTTAATATCAAAACTCAGACATCAACATTTAGTCAGTGCTCTCGGCCACTGCTATGAATTTTACCTCGATGACTCGAGTGTCAGCAGGCTATTTCTCGTGTTTGAGTATATACCAAACGGGACCCTTCGGGACTGGATTTCCGGTAAACTTTTAAATAATTTAAACTTCATATCATCAATAAACTAGAATTTTTTTAACTCTGATGTGTATAATAGGGAACAAAGGAAAAAACTTGTCATGGAGTCAAAGAATAGCAGCTGCTATTGGTATAGTGAAGGGCATACAATTTCTTCACACGGGCATCCTGCCCCGTGTGTTCTCGGGCAGTTTAAAGATAACCGATGTTTTGTTGGATCAGAATTTTGGTGCAAAGATTAGCACCTACAACCTGCCATTGTTGGAGAAAGTCGAAAAGGTATTAATACTGTGAAATATTTCATAAAAATAATGTTAATGTGAGCTCATTCTTGATGTAAACAGGAAGGTTATTTCAAAAGTTTCAAAGAGACGAATCGTGTGAAAGTTAGCCATCCAGAGAAACTTGATGTGTATGATTTCGGTGTTATACTGCTTGAGATCATTTCAGGGAGACCGATTTGCACACAGAGGGAAGTAGAGTGTTTAAAAGAACAGTTTCAGAGCAGAATGAGAGCTGATGATGGAGCTATGAAGGAGATGGTTGATGTGACAATACGTGACAAATGTTGTGATCAATCTTTAATTACAACGATGGAAGTTTGCAACGGGTGTTTGCTTGATGATGTAGCAGATAGACCTTCTGTGGAAGACATGCTTTGGAATTTGCAATTTGCTGCTCAGGTTCAGGAGGCCTGGCATAGTGGCCATGGATCTCCGGTGTCATCTTCACAACCTGCAATTGCAGAGCGATAGCATTATGGGTTCTTGTGGACTCCAACCATTGAAAGGAGTTTCATTTGTAAAGAGTGTGAGAATCGTTCTAGCTCATTGATTTGTATTTGAGGTAGATAGGTTATCGGTTTATGTAAGTTTTGTAATGATTAGATGCAGGTATAATGTGTAATTATTAACACATTGTATGATGATGTCTTATTGTATGCAAGTAATCGAACTCTTGGTTTTCGGTAATTCTGTGAATGTGAATCCTACGTTACCTTACAATTTGTTAAATAGTTGGAGATGAGAGAAAGGCTCGAGTCCATTAAAGGTGATTATTAGACTGTATTGTACATTAAGCCCATTGTAATAGTCCAATTAGGGGTATACATAGGGCTTGAAGATGGGATTTAGGCATAACTCGAAAAACTAAAAAACACAATATGGATGATGATGCACGTTGTATTGTTGATGGAATGATATAGAAAATATGTTACCATAAAAGGGATTAGTTATATGACTATTAGAAAATATATGTCGAGACAAAAAAGAGTTGGAGAAGGGATTCCAACATATATAACAATTTATATTACCATATCGTACCGATGTGGGATATACTAACACTCCCTCTCAGAGTCAAAGGCTCGATGAAGATAGACTAGGATGTATTGAGCCACAGGGTTGCAGGATGCCGGCTTTGATAGCATGAAAATATATGTGGAGACCAAGATTGTCTCTCCAAAAAAGTCATTGCAGAGAGAAGGGGGATTCCAACATATATAACCACTTATATTACCATGTAGTACAAATACGAGATACACTAACACTACCATTAGAGATGTTCTGTAACACTACCATACGATCTATATTGATGTTTTTCACAAGGCATGAAACATATTGACATTAATTGTCACTTCGTTCGTCAACATGTGTTTGCTAAAACCTTTGTCCACCATGAATAGAGGCTCATATCTTCACTAATAAGCATCCACAAGTTGCGTCAAGTTCCGATTTCCAAACTCAATTTGGTTCATTTAGTGCCGAATGATTTCAAATTCATAATGATTCAACGAAGTTAGGATTACTCAATAGTTTTTGTTAGAAAGCTTAATCAAGCACATTGAATACTTACAAATTCAAAGGTTATCAACAGCCTATAGATAAATATCTCTTTTGTTATTTTATCATTTTGGGATGGTGTTAGTGTATCTCATATGGCACACGGTAATATAAATGATTATATGTTGGAATCCCCTTTCTCTCCACAAGGGTTCTTTTGGAGAGACAATTTTAAGAAAGGGGGGGGGGGGTTAGTGTATCCACCTCGGTATGACACAGTAATCTAAGTGGTTATATATGTTAGAATCCCTCTTTTCTTCAATACCTATGTGGGATACACTAACAGGTAGTTTATTGTAAAGTTTTTTACTATTTGAATAAACCTTCAAGATTGGTTTTTGTACATTGGAGCTGATAACTTTTATTGAAATATATAAATGTAAGTTCATTCTTGGTGTACGATGATGAATACAAATGTTGAAGACTTTGAGATAAATAAGATGTTTTCTTATTGAGATATGTCAAATATTTCAGCGTCTTATATGAAAAAGAAAAGGTTGATGCTACTGTTAAAGGATGGGCGAAAGAAGCTCAAGGCTGTTTAGAGTGGAAAGAGGATACGAGGATGATGACACATATAGTCATATACGGGGATGATGACACATATAGTCATATATAGCAAAGTTAAGATCCAATTAGAAAAAATATTGGTAGATATTATAATAAATCATATGTATAAATTAGATGGCAATGACACTTTTTTTTTTTTTTTTTGATAAGTTTTACTATTAAAAGTTATGAGAGAGAAAAGGAAAAAAGCCATGCACACGATCTTCATCTTTCCCTCTTCTCGCAAAGATAAGTTGTTTTGCTTTCAATTATTTTTGTATTTATGTCGTATTTGTTTACTTATCTTGCTTCCAATTTTGTATTTATGACGTATATGTTTTCTTTCATCTTATCTTGTTTAAGGGCATCTCCAAGACTCTCCAACCCAATTTTTATTTATTTATTTATTTTAATTTTTTGAAAGAATTTTATCTTTTGTGTAAAAAAAAGTTAACCATCTCCAACCCATTGTCCTATTATATTTTTTACATTCCAAAACATATTAGACCGAAAGGAGTGGGATTCGCTACTCCACTCGCTAGGCTTGCTATCCATGGTTGAACACCGCCCCCTAGCGCTCGTTGGGGGTCGCTGCCTCCGACTCGTCGCAACTTTGGCGACAAGAGAGAGAAACCTTTTGTGCAATGTGATTGGTGGAAGACAAAGTGGTGAGAGGAAAGAGAAATTTAAGAAGAAAATAATGATTCAAATTGGCTTTTTCCATTTTGTGTTTCTTTTCTATTCTTTTTTTTAATTCAAAAGATTTTTTTCCATTTGATTTTTTAAAATAAAATTCTTTTCTAAAATCAAAATGTATATGAAGCTTAGGTGGCAGGTAAAAATGTGATGTAGCAATGTGTTAATCTATAGACAATGAGGTGTGGGAAAGAGCACCAATTATATCTATTAGGAGTGCATAGTTACTCTAAATATTTGTGTTTTAATATTTTATTTATTTAGCTTTTAATTCGAAGTAATTTTTTTAGAAATATGTCATTTAAAAACGATAAATTGTATAAGAATGTTTTTCAAAACTCATAGGAAAATTTCCATTTTTAAATAAAAAACCATTCATTTTATTCTTTCAAAAATTATTAAAGTATCAAAAGTTGTTCCAAATAACATTAGAGTATCATAATTAAAAGTGCGGAATCTTCGGTGGATATAGTGCAATCATGTAGGACCTTTTCTTTTGTTACAAGATGTACCCTAAAACATTTAAACTTAAAAATATAAGTACAAAACTAAGTGAGTTCCCCATATATATATATAATATATATATATATATATATATATATATATATATATATATATATATATATATTATATATATATCATACAGATAATGGCCTATTTAAGCCAACGAGCCCCATCCGATAGTCTATTTGAACTGACAACCTATTTCAGCCATGTGAATGTTGTGATCTAACCATAGTCTTACTGTCACTTCCGTTGTTAAACCCCTCATTTCGGTCTTTCCTACGATGATTCAACCATGGTCTTTCATGCAAGTCACAGAGACAAACAAACATTTAATGACACCTCGTTTCCTATATAGTATAATAAGAAGACTCACATCTCTATCTAAGTAGACTATACCATGGCTGGTAAGATCCCAAGGCTGGTGCTACACAGTACATAAAGAAACACAAAAGGCCAAACCTTAATATATTATCTAAAACTAACAAACTGAACAAAAGTCAACATAGCCAAAAAGTCTACGGTCAACGGTCAAAGCCAATGGTTAGCCACCACTCCGTAGCTAACCACTGACCGCGTCGTGGCAACTACACGAAAAAACAAGCGCAGATGAACCCGTCACTACGTCGTCTACCCACCGCGTCGTGGAGACTGTCCAAAACAGCTTAATGGATTAAGCTCTTATTCAGTTAAGCCTAGCACTCATACTTTCCAGGAAGCTTCTTATCACTCAAATGGTCCATAAAAATCATTGCTTTATAGACATGCATGTCCAATGCATGTCACATCCCTCGTTTGGTCAAAATGGTGAAAAATATGGCTAAAACCCTATGCATGGCATCTAATCAACATAAAAGTCTATATATGAAATATATAAGACTCAAGGGACATCAAAGATCCGTAAAGTAGCTAACTTTATCATCATCAACCACTCATATGAACACAACATGGGGAAATAAGCTTATATCCTAGATCTACAATGGATGAACCAAAAAGGTGAAATTGGAGACTTACAAAGGTCCAGAATATGCACAGGGAGATAGAGGTGAGTTTGTTTGATGATCCTTTGCTCAACAAGGCCTTCTTTCTACCTTCAAATGCCCAAAACACCAATGAAACTCAAAGAGATCATGAGGAGAGTCTAGGGTTTATGTGAGGATCTTCTAGAGGTGATGAAGGTTGAGGGTGGTCGAAACCCTAGCCGATATACTCCGTATATACGGCCTAAGGCCCAAAACCTAGGGTTTTGTACACAATGTGGCACCATGCCACAGTCTTATTTGTCACTACGTCGTGGTGACGTGTCGCCACCACGCCGTGGCAACCAGTGTACCACGTCACGTAAAAACAAAACTCCAAAATCCAAAAACTTATCCATAGGTGAATTTCAAAGAATAGTACTTGGAAATCTGGAAATTACATGATTTAAAAAAAATGAAAAGGTTAGCCTTTAAATAATTTTTTGAAAAATGGTTTTTGTGAAAGAAAGGTTAAAGAAAAATGATGTTGCAAAAGTAATACTTTTTGAAAGGTTAATAATTTTAGATGATCTACAGAGCTCCTATATCATGAGATAGTAACTAGCTTATATAATTTGTAACATACTTTCCTTTAATGGCACCAAGCTTTTTGCTTTTTCCTATATAGTTAAATCAATCATATAGAAATTGTAACAAGGTGTCAATGTACTAGGTCGTAAGACGGTTGGGTGCAAGTGGATCTTCAAGAGGAAGACCGACATGGATGGGAAAGTACATACGTATAAGGCGCGATTGGTTGCGAATGGCTTTACTCAAACTCTCGGAGTTGACTATGATGAGACCTTATCACTAGTAGCGAAGATTAAATCTATAAGGGTTATGCTAGCGATAGCTACGTTTCATGATTATGAAATATGGCAAATGGATGTCAAAACCACTTTCCTTAATGGGAAGTTAGCTGAAGATGTTTACATGAGTCAGCCAGAGGGTATTGTCAATACATAGCACCCTAATAGAGTGTGTAAGCTTGAGAAATCTATTTATGGATTGAAACAAGCATCTCGCAGATGGAATCTTTGTTTCGATGAGAACGTCAAAAAGTTTGGTTTTTCGAGAAGCGAAGATGAGTCCTATGTATATATCAAAGCCAGTGGGAGTATAGTTAGCTTTCTCGTATTGCATGTGAATGGCATACTGCTCATAGGAAACGACGTCCCAACCCAGTAAGAGGTTAAGTCCTGGCTTGGGAAGTGCTTTGCTATGAAAGACCTCGGAGAAGTTGCTTATATTCATGGGAAAAAGATATTGAGAAATATGAGTAAAAGACTAATAGGACTTAGTCAAAGTACTTACTTGGATAAAGTGTTAAAACGTTTTAGCATGGAGAATTCCAGGAAAGGGGAGTTACCAATCCAAAGCAA